TTCAGAAAGTTTTTGGCTTGTGACATCAGATTGTGCGCCGTTGTTGACTTTCTTTGATGTCAAAGCGTTTCGCCATTGCTGTTTACATGAACTGTCCTTAGCCTAGCAGAACTGGTAATAAAGCTTCTGATTGGCCAACATGGCTTCACGGTTAGAGTAATATTGCTCTTGACAGTCCTTTTTAGCACTGTCAAGACAGGGATTTCATTTGAACAACGGAGGAGGAAAAACGCTGTTTTAAAAAATACCTGTGTACGTGTGGACAAGGCCTAAAATGGAACTTCCCCACAAGGATCAATAAAAGTGTCATTATTATTACACCATATACGTCATGGTCATTTGATTCAAGAGGATACCTCTTTCTAATCTCGGCCCCTTCAGCCGACACAATCTGAAACTTTTTGCACAGGATTCCTGATAATGGCCGAGACTGTATTATGTATTGAGTCATTTTGCATTGGATGGATTTTTGTACTGAGGCTGAGCTCAGCTAACATGGCACAGTACTATCTCATGGGTATGTCAGGTCTTCAAGGCAGGAGATAAGGAGGGATTATCACTTGCGTCTGTTTGTCATCATGTTATGGTCACTGCTCTCCCTGGTTATAAATACCTTCCTTCCACATGCTGTTTGATAAAAGTTTGCATTCCTAGGAGCAGTATAAGAACAAGCAAATGAGTCATGCATTTTAAAAAAAAAAAAGCAATAATGACATGAGAAATGGAAATGTTCTGTAATTTTCTTTTGTAAGGCTTTGCATCCTCTTTAAACATATTATTTTAAAAACTGTTAAATTCCTCTACACCAAATAGGTTTGTAATGCTGCTGTGTACTAAATGTTACCTGGTTGACTGATAGAGATGACCATCTTCTTTTCACTGGACTCTGAATATTCTCAGGAAGGTCTGTAGCTTTAGTAACTCTTGTGATTTGTACACAGGCCCTGTGTTCGTTTCCGTCTTAGTTGTTCTTTCACACTAGCAGCAGATTGAGATGTAATGAAGAGCTCTGGTTTTTCCCACAAATTCCAAAGATGTCAGACTGTTCGACCTCAGGATGCATGGGGCGCCCCAGCTGTGTAATGTAATCTTCTTCCTGTGCACTTTTTTCTCCTTCCTGGGCTCACGTAGTTCAAAGCCTGGCTTGCCAGTGAAGAACAATTGGATCACACTAACGAGTATTCCATGTGCACTTGCAATGTCCAAAATGGCGCACCATAAAATGTGCCCTGAGCCCAAGACTGGGAAGATGAAGCAAATATGAATGACTTACTCTTTTCACTGCCAAGGAAAAAAGTTCTTTAAAATGCAGAATTTTGCAGATAGTTGTGATGTTGTGTTTCTAGTTTTCATTGGGCTGAGCTGCTCTCAAAAGTTCTTTGAGATTAATTCTTCTGAAGGACATTTTAAGTAAAATAGGGCTACTTTTCTCTGCCTGACACCTGCAGTGCATCTCCTGCTACAATGCATGATTAATTGACCCTGAGACAAGCAGCATAAATCCAGTGAAATAGCACAAAAGGGAGGAATTAACCAGGGGCTACAATAAACATCCTGTTTGTTCATGGCATCCCATTAGTGGGAAGCCTTTGTAAATGTTCATAAAAAGGGGCCTCACGCTTTGCTTTCATGCAAAGAGAGCACCGTTTGGACACCTACCTCCTTCTGTGCAAACAAGAAGTACATTTAGAAATGTGGTGCATGCCATGTCAAAATACTGAATTTGGAAATGTGAACTATTCTGGATTCAAAGTATGCTGTGATCTTAGGGACGGGGTCATATGGCCCATGTTTGTGAAAGCCCCTCTGAAACACTTAAGTTTCACCTTCATAAGTAATTTCACAAATCAATTTATGGCTTAATTATAATGACACTATGAAAAGCTGGATAGGTCTTCATATTTCTGATACCCGCATGACTTACTGAAGGGCTGCAAGTTATCTAGGGTTGTGAAACACAAATAAACGTTTAAATTACAGTTGTAGGTAAAGCTGGATTAATTAAGCCCCAAGGGGAAAACCGCAATCCAAATAAAGAACATTTTGCATTGATTTCCACATTTACATTACCATTATATTTTTTCAGATGATATGCTAAACTAGCAGGAACCTGTGCCATGTGTAGGTAAGGTCAGGCAAAAGGAACCTTGCTGTGTTCTCTGTGCAGTGCACATCCATTTTCCATCACTGCTTATCTAATGTTGGGTTACGGTGAGCCTAGAGCCAAATCCAAGAAGTATAGAGCAGTAGGAGGCATATCTCCTGCACAGGGCACCACAGCAAACACAGCAGGCACACAGTCACAGACCAATCTGCAGAAGCCATCGTGAGGAGACCCATGCAAAGGCTGCACTAAGCTGGGGCAGCAATCAGACTCACTAACCTCGAGGTATATGGCCACAGTGCCACCCACTAACCATATTTTTGTAGTATAGCCCCTGGAGGTTAACTGCACCCCAGGTTAAGCACGAGCTTTGCCTTCTTGAATCCACTCGTTTGACCAAAGCTAATTTTCCACCCAGCAAGCGCTTATATAAACAATAATGACAGAAAGCCTTTACCGTGTTGCTATGGTGTGACAACAGGCAACACGTCTTGTTTGTTAGAAAGCACAGCACACATCAAGCGGTAAGATTAAATGAAAGCAGACCTTCAGAAATTTAGTCTGATTACAGTGTTCCATATACATATGCATGCATTTGTGCTATTCTGATTAATCTGACTTAAGTTATGCATATGCTAAAATACAAAAAAAAACTTTGGATGATGAGGATCTGTCCTCATTCTTCTATGGTTCATCATGCAGGGACTGCAAATAGAATATCTGGTAGCTGTCTCTGTCACTTGGAGTGCAAAGTTCTTCATGTACCACCTAAAGCGCTTCCTTGGGATTTTCATGCATCAGTCATGAAGTCTGGAATGTGTGAATGCAGAGCAGTTTCAGACGTAGGGCCCTGCATTCCTAAACACATCAGCTTTACAATACACAGTTGTAGATTATATTATTTAACCTGCATAACAGCCCTGGACTAGATTCTAGTCCATTGCTATGCAGACACTCGCAGTGATGGGAATTTTAGAGTCACCTAAAATGTTTTTGCACTATAGGACGTAACCAGTGCAAACACAGAAAGAAAATGTGACCTCCAATCAGAGAACCATGAACGGGAATGCAATTCCCAGCCCTTGAATAATATCCATCGAGCCACTTCACAACTTTTAAACCTCTTGGTGTTGATATAAAATGTGTGTCTCATCTATGCTGAGAAATTCTCATTGACCTCCTTTCATATTGATATCTGTTGCTCAAACACATGCCATACACACAATGGTGTAAGAGAAAGTTTGACACTGGGGTGGGGGATTGGTACAACTGCATAGTAATTTAAAATACAAAGGTCTATTTATTTGGGGGAATAAATGACTGCAAATATAATTTTGGAGGGTATATGCCACTCCCCCCTGGTTCCAACGCTCCTGCATTCACACACACCAACCAGCAAGGACCAAGCAAATCATTCACATCGAGTAGTTGTGAGTATGATTCTGTTTGATCTGAAGCAAATCACTGCAATTTATTCAAGGTGAGTTGGGTTCTAAGCCATGAAGCATTCATGCATAGTCTGCCTCAGCGCTTCTATAACAAGAATGTCATTAAAAGACCCAGGATATGCACAGTTTAAGCTCAGTTCAATAACACTGAATTCACCTATCACAACAAATATCAACATTAACGCCACCCTTCGTTGTGAACATAGAGAAACCCGTGTGTCTTTGTCACCACTGGTCACATCGATTCATGAAGAACAGAAAAGGACTTGAGGATGACGTACTAGATACTTTCCTAAATGCCTGCCTGATCTGCTAATGTGGGAAGAGTGGCGGTACAAGGCCTGAGCGTAATAAATGATCCTCCTCTAGCTCAGAATTAAAATAACCCCCCCCCCCCCAAACATTGTTCCCATGATCTCTGTGACGTTCCCCCGGAGACTCAGTGTGTGATTTGTGTCTGGACTATTCTTAGTAATCAAGGGTCACACAACAGCCAAGAACACTGACACAGACTTTCCTCTCTGCTTCACACAACGATGATAAAGCACCACGGACTAAGTAACAAAACTCTGTGCTGCATGCGGCTGTTAATAATCATTTAAATGACAGCCGCACCTATATTCTCCCCTGGCACAGGGTTTAAATCCTGCCAGCAGCCCAAATGGACGTTTTATCCCTCGGGGCAGAATCGCTCCCAGGCTGGCTTGGTGTGGGTCATTATCCACTCCTGGTCTTTCACCGAGAGACGGCAGCCCTCCCCTCTTTAGCGCTCCCTTCCTCTTCTGAGCTACTGAAAGGCAGGACGGCCTTGTGGTACCCTCCCCCCCCATTAACTTCTGTTGACCATTTATTGTATAACTTATTAAATGCCAAATTTGGGATTTGACAGTTCAAAGGATTCAAAACGATTTTGAAATAAGTAAAAACTGACAAGCTTGTTTTAGCACAAATGCTAAACCAGATAAACAAACTTATAAGTCCTTATAAGTTTCCATTATTTGCTTGCTATACTGATTTTACTGGCTTTTCCTTCACTTTGCCATTTTCTAAGGTGATACTAAAATTATCTGTTCCATATATGAACAAAAAATGTGACTGATTTAAATTTATTCAGCAATATAATATTGCTGCTAAACCATCTCTGCAAAAAAACACTATTACTTATTATACATTTTAGGCAGATTTTTTTCCCCAATATTAGAGCGTGTGGTCTTGTTGTTATAAGGTTTTCTTTCAGATGTGGAGGTAAATTAACTGTCTTTTGAATATAAATATGTTATGGAATTTATATTTGTCCCGGAGGCAAAAAGTTAGAAAACTAGGAATGATTTTAGCAGGTGTCGTCCTGGGTCCTCTTCTGTTTATCCTGCCATTAAGCCCCTCCCCCTCCCCCCATCCCTCCCGCCACTCACCTCCTGTTCCCATCACTCATGTCTCTCCCCTCACAGCAGAGTCATATTCTGTGGCTGGCAGCGAGGGCAGCATCTCCACCTCGGTGGCATCACTGCCCCCCCAGGCCTCTGGAGGTTCTGCCCCCGGCTCCCCCGGTTCCCGTCGCTCCATCAGCACCCTCAAGAAGTGGCTCACCAACCCAGTGCGCAAGCTGAGCGCCGGGCCCGGCGGCGGGGGCGGCAAGGGTGAGCGGACGGTGTGCCGAACCGACGGTACCAAGCCCCCGCCTAGCCCGCAGACCCAGGACCCGGGCACCATCCATGGGCAGGAAGATGGAGTGACGGTGCTTCCAACTGTGGTGAGGAGCAACCTTCCTTTAGCAGCCAGGGAGCAACAGTGATAGCTATTCACTTTGATTCGGCTTCCTAGTAGAGATATCGCATAGCACCTACCCAGTAATAACTAATCCGCCATGAGGAAAATTGTGGGTGGAGCCACATGGTTAAGTAGGAAGCTCTTAAAGGGGCAGTTCACCCAAAACTGAAAAAAGTATGTTTTAGAGGGGCTTTAGTGCTATCTATCCATCTGCCTAGGAGTTGCCTAGTTTTGGAGATATTGGCTGTAGAAACTCCACACACCAATCACCGCCTAGATGGATAGATAGCACTAAAACCACTCTAAAACATACCTGTTTTTCTGTTTTGTGGTGAACTGTCCCTTTAAAGCATTTAGTTGGCTGCCGACATTCAGGGATGGCCTGATCTGAACTTTTTGTGCATCTGCAGGAATGGAGAGATGATCCCAGTCCTGCTCACCCTGAAGATGGGACCCCACCCACCTCACCGTCTCACAGCCTGCTGTCTACACTGGCTGGCCAAGAGGTGAGTGCTACTTCACACCTGCACACACTCACACACACACACACGCACACACACACACACACACACACACTCGTGTAATCATATCTTTTTGGGGACTGCTCATTCATTTCTATAGGAAAAATGCTAATGCTAACAACCTTAACCCCTACCCAGCCCTAACCATAACCATAAGTAACCAAACAAAATACAAGATTTTTCATTGCAGTCACGGAAACTGGTTCCCAAAAGGGTAAAAAATGGGTATTCGTCACGTTGTGGGGGTATACCTGGACTACACACACACACACACACACACACACACACACACATGTAGGGTAAACATATCCTTATGGGGACCGCTCATTCATTTCAATGGGAAAAATGCTAACGCTAACTATGACAACCTTAACCCCCACCCTGCCTTAACCATAACCATAAGTAACCAAACAAAATACAGTTTTTGCATTTTTAGTTTTTTCATAGCAGTCACCGATTTTTATAAAATAGAGTTTTCCCTTATGGGGACCAGGAAACCGGTCCCCATAAGGGAAAAAAACGGATATTTATCACGTTATGGGGACATTATGTCCCCATAAGGATAGGTAAACTCGCTCACACACACACACACACACACACAGAGCTATATTTAAGGGGTCCTCCCGCTGACTGCTTTTTTCTTACTTTAATCTTTTTCATTAGATTAAAAAAAGTATGAGATATTTATCTTGTATAATTTTTCTTAAAATGTTTCCATAAGACAGTCATGTGTACACTGACAAACACAGACAGATAAATACATAAACACATAATTCATAATGCATAAAAACATACATGCACATTATACACAGACACATAAACAAACTCACTGCTTTTTGTTCAAACGTTAATAATTTATGTTAAACAGAGCCTGCGTATGGAAAATGGTATCTGTGGTTCAGTGTGGTTGAGTGAAGCACAAAGGTGGACAGTGGCCTTGTTTACAGGATTCCTTAATCCATGTGAATATACACAGTTACCCAGTCTGTCACTGGGCTCACGTCTCCAGTTATTAAACAGAGCCACTCAGTCTGCAGGCCCTGTGGGGACTAACTCAATGAAAAACAGTGGAGAAAGAACAAATGCTAGCAATCAGGCAGCTATTAGCATTTCTGTTTATTTGGTGAGATAATCACAAATAAAAGAGATGTGTATAGCAACTTTTATACCAATGCTGCAAAATAATTATTCCTTTGGAGTAAATGAGTGCATGTAGAAGAATAGGTATGACCTCAGACCTTAGCAATCCAAAATGGTAAGTAAAACCTCTAGGAGACACCATAAAATGCTATGATGAATTTTTAAACCTGCATGGTGCATTATGGCAGAAACCAATTTCAGGCTGATTGGTGTCTTGCACTGGCAAATAAATAAGAGTCAGACACTGGGTGAGACAAAATGTACCAGGGCTCAGTCCACTCGAATCTAACATGGAAATAGACAAAGGGAAGGATAAAAAAATCTTTCAATACATTATGCATTTGCACTAAAAATACTTTAGATGAATAATAGGTATAAGTATGATCATGCTTTTTGCTGTTATTCTCTGGAGAAGAAGCTAAGGTCTGACCCTGGGGTGAATGAAACATACTGCCATGAGTTACGAGGTACGGACCAGGGAAGCAGGTAAAAGAGATAAGGACTGGGGTAAAATAAAGGGATTTAATGGGCAAACGAAGGGGCATAAGGAACAAACAGCATAACAATACAATGACAGAACTAGGGAAACAAACTCTGACGTGGACTTAAATACACCGAAGTAATAAGGACAACTCGAAACAGCTGGTAAACCCTGGGAATCCACATGAGGTTAACGAGGGGGGCGTGGCGCAGGAGGATTGGCACGATCGGGGTGTGACACATACCATTATGGTGATAGGTGAACCTTTGTTCATCCATCTTTGGTCTTTTTGTTGTTTGTTGGCTGAAGGAAAACTATGAGTATTAAATGATCCTTTCTGAGGAAAAACGTAATGGGTTACAGAAATTCTTCACATATACTGTATTAGAGTCACATTGAGTTACACAACAAGTAGCAGCTTTTGAAGCCATGATTCTGACTCCTCAGTGCAGACAGATAAACGGAGACACTGCCACTCAAGGGTGAATTTTTTTCTGGAGTGGAGAGCTCATTCTTTATTAAAAACCACTGTCGATTAAACATGGCCTCTAGGTTTAAAAGGAAAGCAAATAAAATATGTGAGGAAACAAACTACAATACTTTTTGTTGTCGCACATCTGGTAAAAATAGAGCACGGAATCCGACGGTCAGGTGATGCCAAGCGAGTACCGCAGGACGGAAACGCTATGAGGAATGCCGGTGTGGTGCTGAGCTGCTGGATCACGCCGCCGTTCCTAACCGTAGGCAAAGCCCTTGTCAGCTGACTCGGGATTTTAGCACAGCTCTGGCCCCTGGATGGAGCCTGGGCCTTGGCCATACTGAGGTCCCTTGGTGTTGAGCGGTTGTGTGTGTAATCTGAGGAGTGGGGGGGGGTCCTCATACCTTTATGGCAGGGTTGGGTGGGGATGGAAAGGGAATCTTATCTAAACATAAACCAAAACCAGAGCTTGTTATGTCATGCCCCACAACCAGTGATGACAAAGGAAGTACAACCCAGTACACAATTACTTTATAAAACTAAGATAGACTATTTGCAATATCACAAATCTACTGGTGGTTCATCCAAATGCTACTTATACAATGATACTTTAGCTTGATGTGTCATGACATCACCCGCATCAAACGAAATTCCTTGTACTTGGTGAATAAAAGATTCAGTAGTCAGTATTCAGTACTTGGTCCTTGTTGGTAGTAATATTTTAATTTCACTCCTATTTATACATTTATAAATTTTTACATTTACATTTACATTTACAGCATTTGGCAGACGACCTTAGCCAGAGCGACTTACATAAGTGCTTTAAGACTCTACAATGCATTTTTCCCGATACTAGCTCAATAAAACCAAGACTATGAATACCATCGATCTAATACTCTGTTGGGAAAGTGCGTTTTTTTTTTTTTAGCCTCTCTACTACTTGACTCAGTTACCATGAATGTCACAATAGCAACACCACTATATAGTAGGTTTAAGGCAGTATTTCCCAATCCAGGCCTCTGGGAACCACAGTCAGTCCATGTATTTGCTCCCTCGGAGCTCCCTACCAGACAGGCCACATTTCGCCCCCTTCCAGCTCCCTGCCAGGAACTGGGAGGAAGCAAAAACGTGGAGTGTCTGTGTGTTCCTGAGGACCGGGTTGGGAAACACTGGTTTAAGCTGTAGAAGATGGGGTTTTCGGGGTGTGTCCTGGCACAGCAGGGATACTGGCGCATTGCAGGGATGCGTGTGTAATCTGGAGTTTTGTTGAGTTAAGGGTGTGTTCAGACTCACCAGAGCAGAACTGTGACGGAGGTAAAGCCACGGCGAAGCTCACATTGCTGAGATGCAGACCTGGAAACAAACAAGAGAGAATGCAGGCATCACAGCGTCGTTGGGTGGTCTGACAGCGAGCGGAGTTCACAGCTGGAAAGCCATTGTGGAAAACCCCAACATTTAACATTTATCGACAATTTACAGCTGTGTAATTCCAGTTCAGCTTTTAAAAAACATTCCCCTGACAATGTAAACTGTTGTTATTGTATCTGTGAATGGTGACTTTAAATGTGCAATGGCAGAGGTAGATAATTCAGGTCCAGAAAGTAAAAATCCAGACCAAGTTTAAAAAGTCATAGTCACAGAGTACTCAACTGGCTGGTTGAAACCAAATCTTGGTCTGGATTTTTACTTACTGGATGTGAACTACCTACCTCTGTGTATTGTGGAGACTTGAGGGTACAGACTTTGACAAATGGGCATAGAGACCACACACAGAGAAGACACAGGGCTACTGTATTTATTCTCCCTCATTCCATTTATGGATGCAATTTTTGAATTTAAGCTTCAAAGTATCTGTTTCTTCCCCTATTTCATTTCCAGGGTCACCGGTTGGGTCTTTGGGGTCAGAATCCCTTGAAGTGTCACCCACGCCGTAAAAAAGGAATTCAGGTTTTGCGTGGATATTTCTGCATGAAGTGTATCAGACTAAACTACTATACAAGGAAGGAATATCCAATGGCTGAAAACAAACCATACAATGGAATACAAACTGGGAAATGGAAGGCAACCTTCCTGTTTATTTTACTTTCTTTCGCCATGATTTTCGCTGACAGGAAACGTTAATGCTGACAAGATGGAACCCGTATTTATCTATGTTGGTCCTGTTATTTGCATTTCATTGGTATTTATTTGGCGGCAGGGAGCATTCTAGTAACAATTTCCCTTTGCTATGTACATATATCAATAAAAACCTTAGTAGGCACAACTCTTAAGGAAACCCAGCAAAAGCAGTGATGGTCATTGCCTGGAGAAGCCACGTAGCTGCACACCCAATAGAATACAGATTTCCATCAGTGCTCCTCTGTTTTCTGTTCCTCACCCTCTCTTTCGGCTGCAGTCTGAGTGATGCGGTGGTTCATACATCCTGCTTTCTACTGACGGCTGCACCCCTGTTATCATTCCTGCACTGTCACACGCTATTTGGCTGATGTACTCTCGTCACCCTGGCAACCCACGCCATTACGGCTCTCTGTCGCTCCCTTTGTTCGGGTTCCGGTTCCCCATTTCCATTTTGCATGCACCATCAGGACTTCCCTTTTCATCCCCCCGGTCCCCCAGTGTCCCTTTCGCAAATGTTAAATCTGAAAAGCCCTGATGGAAATATGTGAACGCAATATGATCATGGAAAAAGCAGCTGTGTTATTTTCCGAGGGCACATGAGCATAATTAACATCTGGAATGCCACATTACACATCATGTGGTTTCCGTCCAGATGAGTAATTTTACAAATATGTCTTTATCTCTCCACTCACCATTTTCAAATTATTAGTTAATGAGGAGTTACAAGTATTTACCACTAACATGTTGAAATTAGAAACAAAAAAATGTTCCACTTCAAATGTAGGCTGAGTAGAGGGGCACCAGATTATATCTTTGTCTTTTCTTGGCATATTTTCCCGTTAGTGCATGTGACTGGGCAATCTGTCCTGAAGACTTTTTTCAACGGCTGCTCCAGGCCATGTAATCAGCCCAAACAGCTTCGATGTAAGCTTTTCCCTGCTACATGTGTACAATACAGAGCCACTTAGGTGTCACAGTAGAAACAATTATTATCTCGTAGTAATTTGTACTCTCAAGTTAGTAATTTGTGCGCTCTATTTAGTAATTTGTGCTCTCGAGTTACTAATTTATACTCTCAAGTTAGTAAATGGAGAGCATGGATTTTTTAACTGGAGCGCACTACTTACTATGAGATAATATTTTCTTCTACCATGACACCTAAGGGGCTCCATAATACAACTCTGTCTATATTCAGGCTCATCTTTTCCCCAGGCCTTTTGCCTCTAGCCTTCACTAAGTTGGAAAGCTTCTCCAGTTTTTGGGTGCTGAAATTTCTAAGGGCATCACATCTGCATAGTGAGGTGTCTGTCTGACGATCCCAATACAGAAATCTGCCAGAGCCTTCTTGTGGCACATATCCCAGCAAAAACAACATTGCATTTGTAGAAAATAAATTTCTTAAACCATGCAAAGAAGATCCTTATGTTGACAGGTTTCCCTGTGTTGAATGAATTATGCTGCTTATACACCCAATAAAATGGCATCTGTTCAGTAAATGATTCAAGGCCGGTGGTTTTCTTTTTAGAAAGCAGGGAGAGTGTTTGGAAGTTCTCATTAAAATGCTGCTACATGCAAATTAGGAGGAAGAAGGAAATATCATTGTGATATACTGGAATATTAAATAGGCACTGATCAAAATTTTCTGATTAATTCCTCAATCTAATAAACTAAATCAAATAGCACCAAGATTCAGGATTTTAATTTGTTGCATGCAGAACTAAACAGTAGAATGGCAAAAGAGCGCTGTTACTGTGGATGAACATATAAACGTATAGACTGTAAGGGAAAAACAGACATATACCAAAACAGAGAGAAAAAAGAAAACTATTACAAGAGGCAATAAAACTGTATGAGTGTAAATGAAGTGTCTGAGGTTAGATGCAAAGTCTTTCTACAGTATTGATGTAAAGTGCAAATACAGTATAAGTGGCATAATTATCAGAATTTAAGACCAGAAAAATGGCAATGATTAATCAGGGTTTAGGGTTTGTATGACCTGAGGGAAAAAGCTTCTCCTCCGTCTCTCAGCCCAGGTCTTTTGGCTATGGAGGCGTTTGGCTTAATGCAGTCGCTGGAAAAGTCTGTGTTATTAACCGGTAACTAAGTGTTAGTTACAAACTGATCCCATGCTTGTTCATCATTAATAAATCATGACAGTTCATGTATTCAATTCAGGCACTACATTAGTTAAGAGTTAACTAATTTGTTAATAATGGATTTAGTACTGAAGAACAAATCATGAGATACTATAGGTTTCCCCCATGAAATATATGAACGGTTGATTAATGATGAATGAACATGGGATCAGTAAACACAGTTACTGGTTAATTAATGCATTAAGTAAACATGTGGGATATTATTCATGTCCCATCAAGTAAAACGTTACCCCTTGAATTTCTTCAGTTGCCTGAGGTGATAGAGATGCTGCCCCGCTTTGTGGGAAGTGTGCTGAGTCCTCAGAAATGCCAGGTCAATGGAAATGCTGCTGACTCTCTCCACTGGAGACCCATATCCCATACTTAACATCATTAATATTTAATATTTTGGTAAGCTTTTGTGCCCACTCAAGTAAAGTGTTTCAGTAATACTTTACTTGAGGGGACACAATTACAGATAGTCCTCAAGTAACGACCTACCTGTTTAACAACCGCCTGGACTTAAGACCAGCTCTCCGATCAGTCGGTATTGTAAGTTGTACTAGAACTTCAGTCTGGAAAATGGCAATGCAGCATCTCATCATAAAGCAATCATGCAAATTAGAACAAAATTAGTAAATTGTAGTTTCCTTGTCACCTTTTAATTGTTCTGAATAAATAAAAATGATTACCTATATTTACAGTATGTAAACCTAAGTAATGCAATGTAAGTAGAGAAAATGCTGATTTTCTCTATTATATTTATTGCATCACACAATACAGGACTGTATAAACATTTATAAACTGGATTATATAACAGTGCACATTTTCACACATTTTATCTGCATTTCCGCTGTTATGACAAGAAATTGCGTGGATTTTAACCTTTATACTGCAAATGAAGTACGGATAGCATATAAAGGTTAAAATGCACGACAATTTCTTGTCATAGCAAATGCACATAATTACACAACTGCACATAAAATAAGTACGCATTTGCATTGTTACAACAATCGATTGCTGCACGTATCGCTTTAAAGGTGAATGCGTACTTGCGTAGCAGTTATCTGCATCCCTGTTTATATGTATACTAAAATGTTATAGATGGTGCAAAGGCGACATTAAAGCTATATCTAATGATAGTTGACACAAACTCACTACCAGTAGCCTACAGTATGCCTGAAATATCGGTAAGGGGCAGCTCCTTGCTTACTGACCAATTTGCTTAACGACATAGTCGTAGGAACGGAACTCGGTCGTTAAGTGAGGAGTGCCTGTAATGCAATATTATGCTACTACTAATGTATTAACCACAAATTGATAATGATAATTGATCCCTGTGGGGAAATTGTCTTTATGCTTCCCTCAACTTGCTCTTTGTAGAGTAAGTTGTCTGCGAAGGGCAGCCATCTGCAGCAGCACCCAGGGAGCTGGGGGTTAAGGGGCTTGCTCAAGGACCCGGAGACCTGGGTTTTGATTATAATGAATTGTCACATGTTTTATCTCAAGCAAGTACAAAATTTTTTGTATATCTGTTATTCTGTAAATCTTTGTGAACTACTGAAGGAACTGCTGAAGGAACAAATAATAAATAACACGTGAAATACTGATCACATGTTTATTAATCATTAATGGCTCATGACACGATCTTAAGTTGTGACTATTTGTTTATGATTTGTTCATGATTTGTACTTCAGTAGCAACTGAGTTATTACTAAGTATTTGTACCCCTCGTGAAGCGTTACCAGTATTTCTTTTCATTGTGAAATGCAGTGCATTACATGCTATCATTTCATAAGGTCTGTGTGTATTACTGGTGTAAAACGATTTTCCATGCTAACTGCATGAAAAATCTTTTTCAGGACCGGTTCAAATTTTTGTCAGCTTTTGTTCAAGGCATAAAAACAGACCCAAACTGGCTAAACAACGGGTCTTTTGTGTGCTACATTTCTTATTTTGGCCCACTCAGGATGTATTTAAAAATAAATTAACAAATAAGCATCAATGTTACAAACAGATTGGAATACATTCGATTTCAGGAAGAATTACAAATTATTAGAATTACATTTAGCTAATTGTGCCTTCTGTGTGCATAGAATGAGCAATGGACCAATCTGTTACCTGATGAAGAGGCTTCCTTGAAGACGGACGACTCTTCCAGCCAATCATTAGCTGTTGCAGAGAGTGAAGAGGAAAGGAAGAGTGCCTTGGAGAAAAGCATGTATGTGAGGCGAATTCTTTGAGTTCCCCGTATCATGTTCTGCTCTCTGAAAAAGGACAGCATGGTGGAAACTCATTGTACGCAATGCAGCTAAACAAATTTCATAACAATTGTTCCTGAGTCAAAAACATGCTTTCCACCACACCCCTGTCTCAAAATGAAAGGCCTGAAAAATGCATTCAGATTCCCCTTTCTTGCGCGATTTTAGGTACGTCTTGAAGGAGCTAGTTGAGACAGAGAAACTATATGTGATTGACCTAGGGCTCATAGTGGAGGTGAGTATGTCACAATTGTTAAACTTAATTGTGAAATCTTTCTTTCTTCCATAATCACTTTTCCAGTGTAGGGTCAAGGTGATCTTGGAACCTGTTCTAGGATGCCATGTATGATAAATGTGTGTAAGAGCCATCAATAATTTCTAGTATTAAATAATAAATTTCATTTAAGTATCTGTGTTTCTTCAAATAGACTTGTGCCAGACAATGTGTCAATCACCATTTTGTAGGAAGAACAGTTGTCTCCAATACGGTGCCAATTTCTGCTGCAGGGTTACATGGCCACCATGAATGCCAAGGGGGTACCTGAAGACATGAAAGGGAAGGACAAGATTGTGTTTGGGAACATCCACCAGATCTTCGACTGGCATAAAGAGTGAGCACCGATTCGAATCACAATGTGTGGCAAACATGAGAGAGAGCTGCAGTCCTTGGGAGGTCCTCTCAAAGAAACATACTGTTATATGTGTATGTGAGAGTTTGAAATATTTTGAGTATATCGCAGTTTTCCTCTTACCTTTGCCTTCTAACTGTAAGTCTGTGTGAGAGGTTACTGGGAGGTCCTTGAGTTTATCTGTATTATTATGGAGGAGATGGTGTTCCTGGGGGGTGTGTTTGTCACACTTCGAGGGGACACAAATAAAGCAGTAGTACATACATACTTAATGTATTAATTATCCAGAAACTAAGTCTTAGTTACATACTGATCCCGTGTTTGTTCATCATTAATCAATCATGACGGTCCCTGTATTCCATGCAGGAACTATATTAGTTAATAGTTAACTAATTAGTTAATTCACTAATATAGTTCCTGCATGAAATACATGAACTAACATGATTGATAAATGATGAACTAACACTTACTGGTTAATTACTGCATTAGTTAGTAAGAGTACTACTATGCTAGTGTCTCCTCAAGGAAAGTGCGTTTCTGTGTCGGACAGAGTTACACTGAGCAACACTTGACTTGACAGGGCACAAATATTATGCTCTTACTGATGTATTAATTAACCACAAACTAAATCTGAGCTACCTACTGATCTCATGGTAATACATCATTAATGAATTGTGATCCATGTTTTATGTCAAGTAATGAAATTATTATATTTCTTACATGTTAATTTTGTAAACCTTTGCGAACAACTGAAGTGACTACTGAAGGAACAAGTAATGAAAATCACGCTAAATACTGACCTCATGATTGTTCATCATTAATGAATCATGATGCATCTTTCATCCCAAGCAGTGTCTTACTATATTATATACTATGTCTAATCCTGTAAACCTTTGTGAACTACTGAAGGAACTAATAATGAATTACTGAAGTAACAAGTAATGAATAACACAAGAAATACTCTCATGTTTATTCATCTTCATTAATCATCTTAGTGACTGTATTTGTTCATGATTTATTCATGATTTGTACTTCAGTAGTAACTGAGTTATTACTAAGCATTTGTGCCCCGTCGAAAAAGTGTTACCATTAAATGTTCCCTGAGCTCTCTTCGTCACCCTTCTCCTACACAGCTACTTCCTGGGGGAGCTGGAGAAGTGTGTGGTGGAGCCAGAAAGGCTGGCTCAGCTCTTCATCAAGCACGTGAGTTGCTCCGCCGTGCCCCTTACCCTGGCTCAGCATTCCCCCAACTACATTCCTTTGACTGCACACTTCTCAAGTTATGTCATCTGCTATTGCTGGCCATCCATCTGATTACCCAGGGTTCTTGTTCCTTGGAGTGCTGACTGTATTTTAACAGCCCCTGAGACTGGCCGCCGTCCAGGTGTGGCTGCAGAGATCAGGAAGCATAAAGTTAAACATGCATAACAAGGCTGTAAGGACAAGAGGCCTAATAATAAATACTGTTGAGACTTGGGAGGACAAACTCTGATAAGGTTGTTTTTCCTGTCCGAGTCTGTGGGTGCTGAGGCCCTAGTCTCTGGTGTCTGAAGTGCTGCATGTACGCTTGTGGACGTCAAACAACTTGTACCGAAATAAATGGGACAGAGTGTGAAGGAGTCACATGCTCAAAGCCAGCCTGAATGAGCGGAGGCTGAGCGGAGGCTGAGCTCAGGCTACAAATGAGTCGTTTTTTTGCTGGGCATAGTGTCATAAATGAGGAATTGCGGTAAGTGCCCCGGGTAAACCGCTATGTTTAATGGTTGCTGCCCTGTCCCCAGTCCTGTTATTTAATTTGTCTGACTGGTTTAATCAACTAGATTGAATTAAAAAATTCTCCTGAGGCCACTGAAATAATTTAGAGAGATGAAGCACATCCTTTGGGTAATGAGATGTAGAGGAAGTTTCAAGGAAAGTAAAACGCCAGCATATCAAGCTGTGAAAAAGATTGATGTGGATAAGCTGAGAACAGGATATGCAGTGTGAAGCCGGAGCATTGTTGGAGAGGAGTAGTGGCAAAATGGGGCTTTCATTTGGGGCAGTAATAGTTATGAATTAGCTCTGCTTCTATGCCTCTGCACCCAAAGGTACCATCTCAAATCGGGCAGGTTAATAATGGCACGAGTCTGAGTGGATATCGCTTATCACATGTTCATGCTATTCCTGGGGGGATACCTTCTTCGGAAGGGAACTGTAACCTTGGACAAAGGTGGGGGGTTTGCGAGTAAATGATAGATGACCCCATGCTCATCTGTATACAGCTCCATTACAGCTAAGGCTGGCTGCAGCTTCACTGGACAGACAATTAGAGTCTCCATTCCCAGCTGGTATCTGTAAGACGCTGTGCTGCACATATAAATGCAGCCGGTAACACTTCACTTGAGGGGGCAGAAGTATCTTAGTAACTCAGTTACTACTCAAGTACAAATCATGAACAAATATTGTAACTGGATGAAATACTTGAACCGTTATGATTGATTAATGATGAATGAACATGAGATCAGTATGTAGTTAACACAAAGTTTCTGGTTAATTAATACATTAAGTAACAGTGTACTACTACATAGTTTCTGTGAGAATCGCAGAGGACACTCGATACCTGGTTTTAAATCACAATAGTTTATTAGTATGGTGTAGGGCGTCCTTTTGTGGCCAGTATAGCATCAGGTCATCTTGGGAATAACTGATACAAAGTGGCTCAATAGTTTTCAGATCTGGTGACTGTGCAGGTCATGGGAGATGTTCAGCTTCACTTTCATGTTCATCAAACCATTTGTCACCAGTTTTGCTGTGTGTATTGGTGCATTATCATCCTGATACATGTCACCACCTTCAGGGTACAATGTTTGAGCCATTGAGTGAACATGGTCTTTCAGAATGGTAGAATGGTTCTGTAGTCCTTGGCAGTGATGTGCCCATCAGAACAAGTAGTGGGCCTAGGGAATGCCATGATACTGCAGCCCAAACCACCACTGATCTACCCTCGTGCTGCACTATGGGTACAGTCCAGGTGGTAAGCTTTTCTGGGGCTTCTCCCATAACTCCCATAACACCATAACTCTTTTGAATGTGGGAAAGGCAGCGAAGGTGGACCCATCAGAGAACAACACATGTTTCACATTGTCCACAGCCCAAGACTTGTACTGCTGGTACCATTGAAACTAATGTTTGGCATTGGCCAAACCAAAGGTTTGGCTATAGCAGCCCGACCATGAATATTGACCTTGTGGAGCTCCCAACGAATAGTTTTGGTGGAAACACGAGAGTCGAGGTGTTGGGCAGCTGTGATTTTATGTTCTATACAATTTGGGTGAGTGCCAGGACATCCCTTTCAGACAGCTTCCTCTTGCATCCACAGTTACTCCTGTTGGATGTGGTCCATCCTTCATGGTGGTATGCTGATGTTACCCTGCATACTATGGCTCTCAATACACCGCAAAGACTTGCTGTCTTGGTCACAGATGAGTCAGTGAGACATGCATCACCAATTTGTCCTCTTTTGAACTCTGATATGTTTCCCTTTATGTTGTGTGGCTTGAAATATTTTACATACAGTTGTGCTGTTGCTCTGTTAATTCAACCTTCACACTCTTGTCTGGGTTGTGGTGAGGTGGGGTGGGGAGGCCATCCTATGACAGGAAATTCAGTGTTTGGCTTTGAATCCTAGGAGCGGCGCCTTCACATGTACGTGGTGTACTGTCAGAACAAGCCCAAGTCAGAGCACATAGTGTCTGAGTACATCGAGACCTACTTTGAAGTGAGTGCCTCTTTGAAAAATTGTACGACTGCATCAAATTAAATGTGTGCTGGTGCCAGTTTCAATGTCATGGTCAGGTTCCACCCTTATTAGAGCTTTAATTAAATTTAATACCTAAAGAGACTGCGCTCTCCCATGTGACCATGTTTTCATGAATTAAAGGTTCAGAATTTTGCTCTTGTTTATAACATTGGTCTCCACAGATGTGATTTATGGAATGTGTGTGTCTGTGTGTCTGTACAGGATCTGAGACAACAGCTGGGCCAGAGGCTGCAGCTGAACGACCTTCTCATCAAACCTGTGCAGAGAATTATGAAGTACCAGCTACTGCTCAAGGTGAGCCAGGGCACGGCTTCCTTCCCCATCTGCCATTCAGCTTGTGGGAGTTTAATTACACAAAAATGTTGTGAGGGCAGAACAAAAAACGATTGGTTCAGAGAGGTCACCAATCAGGTTATAGAGGAGGTGGGACCATCCTGTCAGATGTATTGATCTTGTTTGGACCGACCTCATGTATAATCTGATTGGTTATCTCTCTAAACTAATCATTTTTCGTTCTGCCCTCAGAACAATTTTGTGTTAGTAAAACTCCCATTAGCTGCCATGTACAATCTGCTAATGCTGGTAAGACGCTCTGCAAACATCATTCTTGCAAAGTCACGCATGGGAAAGTACGCCCTAACATGGACTGTTGATAAAACAAGAGGATGCTACCTGATGAGGATTTCGGGAATGTCCATCCCCCAAAGCGCAGCAGTGGCCACTATGGTCAACCTCTGCAGATACTTAACAAATGAGTGACCATTTGAGAATGTCAGGGCTGGGGAAAGAGATACATCCAAAACTGTCACCCGACTTCTTAGATTGTTTGTCTAAATGTGGAACTTGGCTGTTTTGGAATAGAACAGGTGGCACCACATATAATGTGAAGAATTTTATTTTTTATGGTCAAGTGAAAATTCCCTGTTGACATTAGACATTCCTATTACTATTAGTGTTACCCAGCAGATTCCAGGAAAAATTATGTCATTATAGACACTTTGCTGTAATAAGTTTAAGCTTTTTTTGAGATTTACCAAATGAATCAATGTCCCCGTGAAGTTATGAAAAGTTAACCCCCCCATGTATTAACTTAGCACCCTGTCCCAAGTTTTCTACAGTTTCAATTTTTAAATTTCATTCTTAATAGCCTGATTTTCCCCTAAAACACAATCCTTTCTTGTTGGTAATTAACATGAAACGTTTTTAGGCAGTGCTTTGTAACTTTATTGGATGAGATATTTTTCTCTGAAATAGAATTGCTAAGGGCAAAAGGAATTAGATGCCGTGTGACCCAGTAAACCTTGAATCTGTGACCTTTGTATCTCTGCAGGATTATCTGAAGTATTCTACCAAGGCTGGAACAGATACCGTAGAGCTGGAGGTAAGCATAACTGATCTGCCTATGTGTTACATAATGAAATCTGGAGCAGATTGAAAGATAAGAACTGAGGGGCTTGAAACATTGCCTTCTTGTTGTATGTTGCCACGATGTGCCATTGTTTCCATTGTGAAAAAGGTCACTCATGACCTCTTCCTCATGTACAAAATACTTCTGCTGATTTTGCTCTGTCTTCGTTTTTCTTCCTGGCAGAAAGCAGTGGAGGTGATGTGCTTTGTACCCAAAAGATGCAACGACATGATGAATGTTGGTCGGTTACAAGGATTTGAGGTAAAGAACAGTCAAGATGCATGACATAGTGCATGTAACATAGAAGCTAGTAGTTTATTGTCATGACATAAATATGGGGGGGCGGGGGGGGGGGGGTAAGTAGCAGTAACATTGAACAACATATTAATATCAATGACATATGAATATGCTGTAATGCTTTACATTAATTGCACCACCATAATGCATCTATAACGTGCTCAGAAAATATTCATAAGCAGCTGTTAAGGTATGTTAGAATGTTATGGTATACTTACATGCAGTTTATGAATGTTCTGCGAATACATTACAAAGGTTCAGCTAATGTCCTACAAATGCATTATAAAGGCATTTTGAAGGTGCAGTTAATGTAAAGTGTTACCGAATATGCTGACATTATGATCTTAGGGGGTCAAAGAAGTAAAAATCTACTATATACACTCCTCTCCAAAACTCTCTAAAACAGTCCAATGATGTTTGCATCTGGTGATTGGGGTAGCCATGTAAGGCATTTTATTTCATCCTGATGCTCATGAAATTGCTTAGCACTATATATGAGGGAATTATCATTGTAGAATATTGGAAAATCAAGAGGAACAGTGTTTGCATCATAGAGTGCACTTGGTTCTGCCAAATGGCCTCATATTCCTTGGCTATTATACAAGGATGCAGAGCATGCATCTGACCTCTCACAAGGTGGGTCTCCATCCTTTGTTCTTGTCCAAAAATGAACTCATCCTGATTGAATGAAAAAGGGTGACAAATGACTCATTAGACCATAATACCTTTTTTCAATTGCTCATGGCTCCTGGGTTTGTGTGATCATTATGTGATGACCTTGGATCAAAGCAGTTTGATCGGCGGTGCTGACATAAATTCCTGGTTTGTGAAGCTCACAGTGCACAGTGGCTATGGCTCGCACTAAGTGACAGAGGTGCTGATTCATTTCGGTGGCAACTGGTGAGGCTGGGGATTCGTGATGTTTTGAAATGATCCAGTTAAGCGTCTGTCTACTGTTGGTGAGCTTTGAATTTCAGCCATAGTTATTTGCCAATGCAGTTCTCCATGTTCGGCATATGCTGTAATGATTTTTAAGACCGTTCCCTTTAACATGTTAAATAATCTTGCAGTTGTTGTGAGTGATGCACGTTCAGTTCTGACGCAAACTTTTTGGCCTCTTTGGATCACTGCTATTTGCATCATGTTGCTTTGGAACTTTACATATCAAAGAGCTGATTGTGAAACCTCTTTTATAGCTGACACATGCTGCTAATTATCAATCAACCCAACATGACTCACCTTTGCAGCTGCATCTGTAACTGTGATTTACTTACCTCAAAGCGACTTCAGCTTTCAGGTGGTGTTTCTGTGATTTTAACCTCTGGCCGTATTTCTTTACGTTTTTGTTTCTAACAAGGGGAAGATCACGGCTCAGGGAAAGCTGCTACAACAGGACACCTTCATGGTCACGGAGCAAGACAGCGGTTTCTTGTCTCGCGCCAAGGAGAGACGCGTCTTCCTGTTTGAGCAGATAGTCATCTTCAGTGAACCGATTGACAGGAAGAAGGGCTTTTCACTTCCAGGTTACATCTTCAAGAATAGCATTAAAGTATGTTTACAATTTTTGAAATTAGAAAGAAACCATTCCAATGTTTCGACAGACTATTAAATATTTGTTATAGGATTTCTATGCGAAATTGGTTGTGTAACTAAGTACATCAGTCACTACCCCCATTGGAATTAGCAATGCTTTTTGAACTGCTGCTCTTTGTGTTTCCACTTATTGCATCAAATTTGATGTTAAATGTGAGCACATCCTGGTAGTGCTGGAATCTCCGGAGACCTCGCAGATCAATATGAAAGATGAAGATATGCTTAGGGAAATTCCAAGTAATGCTTGGTGTGCACTACCATGGGGTTTAAACTGCTGACGTGGAGAGAGAGAGAGAGATCCTGAGTCAATATGTGGTTAACATAATCTTGCAACTATTTTACTTATTTCAGCATTTGGAGCTTATTTACAGAATCTACAATAGGTATACGAACATATAGGCTCTGTGTGTCCATTTGCTGTTATATGTTTAGGTCAAATATCAGCTTTAACTGTTATATAACAGGATGGATAAGTAAAAAAGCTATTAAATTTAGTCACTTATCTTTTGAATGTAATTTTACGTAGCACATAATCTTTGCACTCTTTTGTACTGATTGTCATTGAGTCCATTGACTCATGAGTCATCCGTCTCTTGTCACTGCTCATTCAGTACAGAGTGAAAAAGTGAAAAACTTCTTCTCTTTGGCATTAGTGAAATAAGTGGTTACACAGAGATCCTATCTTCATTACTAAGAGTCGTCTCTTGCTTTCTGTAGGATGTTTGTTCCAGGACGCCCCGCCAAAATCCAGTCCCTTATATACTTTATTTCCATATAACCTACCCACATGTTCCCGAAAAGTAATCTAGAGATGATTTAAATACCTAATGCACTGTAAATGCTATATAAGTAGTTCTTAGACTGTATTGTTTAGGGAATAATGAAAGGAAAACAAGCCTGTATATGTAGACATCACTTCATTTACATGGATTCAGTGTAGTGCTCAGCACACAGCAAATTCAAGTTTTGCTTTTTGGAACTTTCTGGAATATTTTTTTCAAATATTTTCGATCCACGATTGGTTGAGTCCACGGGTATGAAACCTGTGGATACAGAGGGCCGATTGTATTTTTAAAAGCTGTTATTATTTTTATTGTGTATAAAACTAGGTCTAGAATCACTTGCACCAAGAATGCAAGCAGCAAAGATTCCATACCTGAATGAAATGACGTATGTGAATGTGTACTCTATAAGGCTTCATAGGAGTGTCTGTGTGACTGAGTTCCGTTGAAAGTTGTTTGCTTTCAAACCTAAGTGATTTTGAATTGCTTGTGTGTAAGCAGCGTACATCTTTACTGGTGAGTGCTTTATCATGTGACCCTGCTTACCCTCCAGGTCAGCTGTCTGGGGGTGGAAGACGGGCCAGATGGGGACCCCGCTCGCTTTGTGCTGACGTCTCGTGGAGCAGATGGCAACACGGTTCGCTCCGTCCTGCAGGCCGTTACCCCTGAGATCCGCAGAGCCTGGGTGAATGACATTGTCCAGATACTGGAGACCCAGCGTAACTTCCTGAATGGTAACGTCTCCGTGTGAAATTCATAGTCTGAAGATAAACCATTTTGTGAGTCATTAGTGCTCCAGTGTGAAACAGTTCTAAAGCTGCTTCATGTGATGCTCATGCTAAATTTACAAATCAGAAATCAAACTGATATCACTCATAGTACATAGACCAAGATAAGCAGGATGGATGGAAGGGTGGATGGTTTGATTATTCGTAGAACTAATATGCAGAAATAAATGTGTTTGGCAGTCTAAAATAATGGAGTTATTCTGCATCCATCCACCAATGTATCAATCCATCCTTCTTCTAACCTCTGATCTAGTACAGTTTTATACGGGGCCAAGATCATATCCCAGTAAACACAGGGCCGATGGCAGGAATACACCTTTGACGGGAAGCCTGTCCATTACATCTCTAAATTATTTTACTTGACCATTTTGTCTAGATATCTCACAGGCTGCTTCAGCTGTGATGAGTGTTTAGCTGAAAGGTAGCAGGCTCTGGGTCACCACACCTTCTCACGCTCATACCTGAGCCACTCCTCCTCCTCTTACCGTTTCTGCAGCCCTGCAGTCACCGATTGAGTACCAGCGCCTGGAGAAAAAGACCAGCAGCCTGGGCCGGGCCATGCGGGACCCAATGGCCGCCGCCGCCGCCCTTCGCCCTCACTCCTCTGCCTCCATTGACAGACAGCGCTTTCCCAGCTTGCGGTCCTACAATGCATCACTGCCGTCCCTCTATTTATCCAGCCACAGACACTCTGATGTGCAGGAGGTGGGTACCTGTTTATGCATACATATAGTGTTAAGGAGCTACGATTGTTAGCCCGATAGTACAATGTACAGTGTGAAGGGGCCCTGATTGTTAGCCTGATAACACACACATGCAGTGTGAAGGGGCCCTGATTGTTAGCCTGATAGTATAATGTACAGTGTGAAGGGGCCCTGATTGTTAGCCTGATAACACTCGTATGCAGTGTGAAGGGGCCCTGATTGTTAGCCTGATAGTATAAT